GATCTCAGGGCAAAAGCCAAACTCGTACAATTTTGTTTCATCAGTCAATACTGTTTTTGATTCAACTTTTCTCACGAAAGGTGTTTTGAGAAGTCGCTAAAATTAAATTTCTCTGTCCAATTTGTAAATGGCATTTGTTTGTTTGTTAAAAAAGGATAACAAAAAACAAAATGCGAGTAAACAGTGTTGAAGTAAGAAGATTAATAATTCAATATGACAAAAATGGGAAATCGCTATATCCAAGATATCCAAGTTACGTCAATCGAAGCCGCTCAGCCATGCAGTGTATAATAAAGCGAACTAAAGCTGGAAAGGGGCCAGCAATAAAATTTTCTCCGTAGGTGTTGAACAATATATTCTACGGCGAGCCAAAAAGGATCCACTCTTAAGTGCGCTGAAACTCGCAAAGAGATTTGGAAAGAAAAAAATAAGAAATATATTCAATGGCAGGGAGTAAGGCATAAGCCACTCAACCAACAAGAAGAGGATTCAACCAATCAAAGAATTTGTGCTATTCACTAGCCGAAACAAGTTCAAACTGTTTGGGCCAGACGGCAGACTCTATACATGGAGAATGTCGAAAGAAGCGCTTTTTACCAAAAATATGAAGCTAACAATAGAGCACGGCGGTGAGTCGGAATGGTGTAGGATTCATTTTTTTCACTTTGTCAAGGGCATTGCAGATCAGAATGGGCACTTTAATACGTTGAAAGAAAGTTTGCCCCTTTGCAACGAAAAACTTGACCTTGGTGAAAATTTTTAATTTTATCAAGACAATGACCGTAAGCATAAGTCCTACAATATGCGACATGACCCTGGTTGCTATATAATTGCACGCACGTCATGGATACACCAGCCCAGAGTCCAGAGATAAACATTAATGGGAATTTATGGGCATATCGCGATAGTAAAATTCATCAGCACTCTATACGTCCCAAGCACGATTAGAGGAAAGCTCGTCAGAACGAAGGGCAAAATTCGAACCAGGTTTTTTCAAAAAACTTGTTCAAAGGCATGCATACCAAATATTATTACTTAAGAAGAAAGTTACATTTGGACATGGAGTTTGGCTTTGGCATTGAAATGAGTTGGATTTTAATGTATATTTTCGTTTTATAAAAACATTAACGGAATTTAAAATTTAAGTTTGTAAATTTTTTTTAATTATTTATTTATTTATGATAACACTTTTTTAAAATGTTCCTGTTTTTGACGTAACAAGAAAGATCAATAAGTTACCTTACATGTAGGAGTTTCGCTTGAAGCTACACGCATTTGTAACAAAGCAAAATAATAAACATTCTATACTACAATAAAATGATAATGAATAATCGTATTTACCAAAAAGCTATGATTTATGCAAATTCGCCAATCAAATGGTAAAACTAAGTCAACTGTATTAATATCTTTCGTTAAACGAGTTATAATTCTACCCTTCGGTGTTATGTCATATGTTTCCATAGGCCAACGAAGCACGTAATACAACAGATTACGATGCAAGGTGCGAGAGCAACGTAAACAACCGACAGTTAGTGTCAACATGTAAAAATATTGCGATATAACTGAAAGAAATTTAAGCCAAATTAAGAGATTTTTTATTTAAGCGAAAGCATATTCCCTTTGCGGTTACATTTTCAATACAAAAACTATCAGCCAACTGTAACACTAAATTTATGGCGTCCGTCAATTTCACGGATTATTAGTTTTAAAAACTTCGTATAACGAAATCCACATTTTTTCTGCGACACGCCCACTTTGCTCATTGTAATCCAAATGTGACGATGTATACCTATTCTTAAGATTTGGCACTAGCTCTCCTTGCTTGCTTTCGATGCCGTGAATATATTTCTGCCCGCATGTTCGATGTAAAAATTGTCCCAATCGGTCTACTGATACTACCACAATTAACGCTAACATTTAATTCCAAGTCATTTCCAGTTTGTTTCTCCTTGCATACCGGGTAAGATTTTATTCTTAATCGGTGTTAGTACACCGATCGGAGCCGGTTATGGACTAAACATTAAAGTGACCCTAACGAACATATAGTTCATCGGATTTTGAAAATATCTTCATATGTTCGAAGGTTGTAAAAATACGAAAATACGAAAAAAATCGACGCTATTTTAGTTCCTTTTGAATTTATTAACCTCGTATTCTCAATCAAGCAAGGAAAGTTTGCGCCAAAATTCAGCTCCCTTTCTTCCTTTTTGCGACTATAATCGACTACACAATTTACCCGTTAAATTGACGGGTTTCCGCAAATCTAGTAATGAACATAGAAATTAATCAATAAAACATCATTATTACTCTTGATTACTATTTGACGTCCAGACCAGTACATGATTCAGCTGATAAGTTTTGAGCTTTAATGTTTGCAAATTTTTTTAATTTAATCCTTTTTAACTATTACGGGCGGATCAACTCGTCCTTAGACTTGGTCTACGGTCACAAATCTGAATTTTTGCGATTCTATCACTTTCAAAGTTCAAATAACAGATGGACTTCTCAGCTTCGATCCTTATTTAATTGAATAGTGTATATACCCTTTACAGGTTATCTAAACGGTTCTTCTAGAAATTAATCTCATCATACAGTAGTGAAGACATTTATTTCAACTACAGCAAACCGTACAGAAGTATGGACGATCGGGTTACCATTTCCTTAAAATTATTTATGATTGAATTTGTAGAGCATATAAAATAATAAAATACATATTTAAAATATGCCAAGGAAAGGAAAACTCTTGCACTGCAATTCCTTTGCATGAAGCTTAGCCGACTAAAACTGAAATCAAAATTATCTTGAATTAGAACGCTTAACTCAGAAGCACTTCATTCATTTACATTTAGTTCATAGGCTCATCTATGCAATTGTATATTAACCCTTACGCAGATTTAAAAAGAGTTTTATCTTAATCCGCTTACGAGATTGTTTTGAGAATTTTAAATGAATTTTGTAACTAAACTAGTTTTTTACCTTAAGTGTAATAAATAATTTTATGGATATTTTTTCAGTACAATACATAACATTAGAAAAGTCTTATGCGATTTTTACAGAGAGCATAGAGAAAAGATTAAAAAATCTTTCTTGAGACCCTTTTTATCCTCGCGGTTTTTGAAAAAAAGTTATGAATAACTCACATTTCATTTTGTCTTAAACTTTCCGAGATCATTTCAAATGCTTTTAGATTTAAGGGTAAAGACGCAAGATTTAAATGAAATGATACAACAACAAAAAATGACGAATAAAAAGCGAAATTGTTACAAGTAATGCCTGGAAATAATTGGTCTTTATTTATGTTATGTTGAGGTTGGGACGAATCTTTAATACCAACTATCTCAAAAGATTATATAAGAACTGTAAAGAAGACAAGTCAGTCAATGGGGACAATTTTCCCACTTATCGACTAGACAGCCTAGAAATATATATACAAAAATGTAAATCAATATCGGATATGTTTATTTTAATTTGCAGTCTTTTCCTTGTTTTGGTTATCGTTATGAGCCAATCAACTCCATTTTTTAATCCAATCTGCCCCCAGTTAAAAATGTACATGCCAAGTTTCATATTTCTTTGTGAAATTTTCAGTCAATCAACAGTTCCAGTTCGTCAAATTAAAAAAGCGATCAACGCTAATATTCATGTTTCATTGATGACTCGGCAAAGGCTATTATTGTGTTTGGAGTAAGTGCGATAGATATTTGGGAGAATTCGTTTTTTTTACCGGACCCTGGACTTTTAGATTGCTGGCAAACAACAAAAAATATAATTTCTTCGTCGTTCTCACATCATCACTCTTACACAGAGAGACACTCATTTTTCATGTGTTGCTTATCTCATACAGATTCCACGTCATTTCTGGCTTTGGAGTAAATTATCAGATACAAAAAAAAGGAAAAGTTTTTTCTACTTTCAGACATCATTTATTTAAATAAAAAAATTATATATATTGTTACGTTTTCGAGGACTTTCAATTGTCTCTCTCTTTAGGCCAAGGCGTGGCTGTTTCGCATGACTCAAGAATATCTCATAGAGTCGTCATTGTGTAAGCTTTCTACCTAACTCTCATTTGAACTCGGAGAAGTATATATGCGACATAACTTGTAATCGCATAAAATTTCCCCAAAAAGTAACAAGTCATTTTTTTTTTTTTTAATTATTTACAAATACTTTCTAAATTCCACTTACTAAAAATACTTATTTTCATAAACGTTAAGAGTACGGTATAGTAAAAAAACAAATTACCATGAGAGCCTGCATAATAACTACTCGCAGATTTAAGGGTAATATCACATCAATTGTATCAATATCTTTGGAGAAACGATTAACTAACCTTCCCAGAGGTGTTACATCGAACAAATCCATAGGCCATCGGAAAATGTGGTGGGAAAGATAGTAATACAATTTTCTGGAAGCGTAGGTGCAACCCAAGGAGATAACAAGGATTGACAGAAAACTAGATACAGCTGCAGTTTAATGAATATGATACGTTAATAAACGTTTGATAAATGAATTATTAATGATTTGGGAAAAAGAAAGTAAAAGCCAATTAGAAATGAAATTAATATTTACATGTTTCGAATTTCAAATTTAATAAATTTACGCAAATTTACATTTTTTACATAATAAAAACAAGATCCATCGTTTAATTATACCAATTAGTATTTTTAGTTTAAGCTTAAATTGCAAAAGTTCACAAAGCGACACGCAAACATTTAAATTTACCATTCTATCAATAAACTATCAATAATTTAAAATACTATTTAAATAAATAAATTAAAACGCTCTCCACAACCATAATGACGTAACTTAAGACTGATTTAATAACAGACCCAAAAATAACCCATCTAATAAACACTGAATAGACACATTACAAAACTTGAGGGAACAAACAAGTACAGAGAACCATACACACATATATATATATGACAAGGTTCACCACATAAAGAGAATGAGGCGACAACGATGCAGCAACAATTTGGTTTAACGTAAGAACTTACCTTGACCGAAACCGAAGGCGCCATACACACCCAGATACATGTCACGTAAACTGGTATCATGTTCGACACGTTTATCGTTTGACCAACGAGTTAACCATAAATTGGAACCGATTTGAAAAGCTTGGAAAATAAAATTCAATAATAACGTAGCCATTGATAGAAATACGCCGACACTTTTAATGTAATGCTTGTAGACGGCAAATTCCACCTAAAAAAAAATGTTAAACAGAATATCTTAGTAAATCAGTTTAAAAATAAAATAAAAATATAAAATAAAATAAAATGCTGTATTTATCTTGAAGGAAATCTTAAGCCTCTATAATTTATGCAGATATGTACGCATCACGATTTTATTCGATTCGAGTGAAAGTTTACAAAATGTATGCATATGTAAACACGAAATTCAATTTCCAATCGGCTATGCAAACGATCGACTCGATCCTCTTGGTATCTTACCTTGAGAAGGGATAAATATAACCAGTCCTATATATATATATATATATATAGCCGATAGTTTATAAGTTACTCACAACATTATTTCAAGAATGTTTTCAATTCTTAGCTATTGCAGGGTTATTCAACTGACGCAACGGACCTGGTCAATTTTCTCGAAATTGCAGGTATAGATAACTTAGATATTGACGTTTGAACTATATAAGTTTCACTTGTTTGCGAGCTGTCGTTCAGTGTATAATAAAGTTTAAAGAGATCGATGTCATTTATGGAACTGCAGTTTCTCTGTTTTTAACTGAGTTTTAATTGAATAAAAGAAATGCACTTCAACCTGCGGAAATGATTAAAGCAGTAAACTACGAAATCGTTAGAAAGTAGTTTGCGAGATTCCGAGTAAAAAATGTTTGTCTGGAAAACGATGAGATTCACTTAACAAAAGCAGCCAAAGAAATAATTTTCAGCTGAGGTTGGGAAGCTTTCGTGCATCCCTCATATTCTCCAAATCTGCCCCCTTCCCATCATCATATATTCAGACCGTTGCAGTCATATTTAGCAGGTGAGCTGGTCACAGAATTTGGCGAAGTGCGTGAACATGGGTCGAAGACCATTTCATCTCTACCGCAAGGGTATCTACAAGCTTCGGGGTAAAGGGTAAAAGACCATATATAATGATGGTGCGTTATCGGCTATTGAGATTTGTGACAACTATATTTTAAATAAAGTTGAACTTTATCCAACTTCGGGACGAAGTTATTTGTACACCTGTTATAATATATATACGAAGTTTGAAATTTTATGTTTCAGTGTTTGCGGACAAATCGTTATGACTATATCGGACTAAAGTCTCGTGTATATATTAGTCTTAGATAGTTTAAAGAGGACTGATCCTCTTTGAATTCAACAGTCATATGCCCATTCAATTGGTTTAATTCACACTTGCCAGTATAACATCATGAATTTACTAAAGTTATCTAATATTATGACATTCAAAATAATGTAAAGCAACTTAATATTTATAAAATGATCTGATGGATATTTGTGAAAGCCTAATGCATTCTTGAAACATTTTAATATCTGTTTACTTACACCACCGGTCTGTGACTTTTCCGTTTCAATTAACTTCCCTTGTTCTTCTATGTTTAGTTTGGTTCTGGAATTTATCGAATTTATGGATATTTCTGAGCTTTCTCTTTCTAACTTACGGCGCCTAACAGTACTGGTGCTCTCTAACGAATGCACAGATCTGAAATTTAATAATGCAATTTATGCGTTTAGTATTTATCTTGTAAAAATTTGATATCACTTACACTGCGTCTGAGAGACTTTCTGTTCTAGCTAATGTGATAGCTTTTTGAAAACGATCCTTTAACTCTTCCGACTGTAGATTACCCTCCAAATGCAGTTTAATTTCATCCAAATTTTCAACTTCCTCATTGCCCTCTTGTATGTGTTGCAGTAAAAAATCGGAAAAATCTCCCCGTTTATTTAATAAATCTTGATAGGTGCCATTTTCACTAATTTCACCCAATTTCATAACATATATATTATCGGTTTGAGGTAAAAAGGTTATGCCATGAGTAACGAGTATACGAGTTTTATTCGCTAATATACCACCGGGTCCTATCACTTCTTCGAATATATGTTTGCCCACATGAGAGTCCACGGCACTTAACGGATCATCCAGGAGGTATATATCAGCATTGTTATAAACAGCTCGGGCCAAAGATATACGTTGTTTTTGACCTCCCGACAAATTGATGCCTTTTTCACCGATTTCTGTTAAATCGCCAGCGGAAAGTATATCTATATCGGGCTTTAGAGCACAGGCATTAATTACCCGGTTATAACGACGGCGATCATAAGGCTTGCCAAATAAAATATTCTCGCGAAAGGTTGCGTTTTGTATCCAGGCTTGTTGCGGAACGTAGGCAATAGAGCCTACGGTATTTACAATGCCCGAAATTTTATCCATTTCGCCTAGGAATGATTGTAAAATAGATGATTTGCCTGAACCCACTGTGCCCACAATAGCGCACAAGGTATTCTTTTTCACTTCAATGTTTATGTTCTTCAGAGTGCTTTCATCGTCTCCCCATGAAAAACTACCGTTTTCAATAATTAAGGGATGAGCTAGAGATTCGAAAAAGCAAATTATTCAAATAATCAAATGCATTTCGAAGATTTTATTGTCCCACTTACGTTTGGTGCTGTCATGTTGTACATTATTTGGATCTAATTCCTCACTATTCATAAATTTGTTAATACGATTCACAGAAACTTGAGTCTGTTGATGATATACATAATTATTTGAAAATATTGAAATAAAACGTAAAGTATTAAAAGAAAAGAATGCGTGCTTTAGCTATTTTAAGTTATTAATATTGCAAAGAAGGCTTCAGTTTAATTAATTTTTGGAAAATTTTAAATCAATAATTAGAGCTTTTTAACAATGTGCACCTGTTCGAGTATTTAAAACAGTCTATTATTTTGTACATTATAAAAATTATAAATTATTTGTAACATTATAAAAAAGAAATACTTTCCAAACCTGAGATTGATTAAAAGTGAATAACAAAAAAATTATGAAACGAAATTCGCTTTAAATCTATTAGGCAAGCGTCGAACAACTTAAACTAGGAAAAAACTTATTTCATATTTTTCCGTATAATTCTTAAAATGAAGAGCATAGATAGACTATGTGCAAGATTCCAACGAATTCATCTATTTGTCTGTCATCCGGCGTCGATGTTCCACCGGGAGCCACCGAAACCGATGAAGCTTTGAAGTTTCAATCAATATTAGTGAAAAGCATGCAAATGTGCTTCTAATTTAAAAGAGATTACAGTATTTTTATCTTTTTGTATCTGAAAATTTCTTTTTATCTTTTTACACCTTACAACCCTTGAATACCTTGAAGTAAAATTGCCAAAGGAAGCAACAATTGTCCCCAAGATATTATATTATATTCACTAAGTTAAATAATTCCACATAAAATAGCAAACACACAAAATGTTGTAAGCAAAGTAAAGTAGTCATCAAGTACGTTAGAGTAAAAATGTTCGCTAAACCAAATGGTAAGTCAGCCACTCTCCACACGCGTGAAGTAGTCTTACGTAGAAGCCAGAAAAAAATTCAATTTAAAACGCGCTTCCTTTCAAGCTACTCTCCACACCCATTCTTCACAATTGCTCCAACACTTAATCTCACAATTCAAAGTCAGTATGTATAACAAAATTATTAAACATAACCCTTACCCTATATTTGCTTTTTGGGTTGTAAAACCTAGACGCCTTGGAAATCCTATTCACGATCAATATAAAATTTTATATTGATTTACCGATGTCTGTCTGTCCAACAAAGTTGCAAGTAACGAAAATTTGAGATAGAAATGTTGAGATCTGGCACATATGTTCTTTGTTGTAACTGATCAAATTCATATTTAAGCATGAGATACCCGCAATAGCTAAAAAACATCGCTTGGAATGGTAGATTTTTAAAATTATTCTCAAAAGCAAATTCATTTTTTTTCTTAATGTTTTTAATAAATTTACTACGCATTAAAAAGAGTAAACGCTTAGCAAACATATAGCTAAGAAAAAGGTGAATCTTCTTTAAAAGAAAAACTTACTTGAACCATATTGGATATTAACATGGGTAACATGGTTAATGGAAAGCGTAATATATTGAATAATGATAATGAGACAAAAGTTTTAGTGGCATCGAGTACGTTATTCTCATCGATTAATACGTAAGTGGCGAATGTAACCAATGAAACCTAGAAATAAAGAATAATTTTGTGTATGAAAAAATTTCGAACATGTATCCAAAAGATTCATGCATGACTAAATGCTACCAAAGAAAACGTAAAGAGATAAAAAATAAATTTAAAAGTGCGTAGCTTGCAATTTTGTAGAACCAGGCCCCTTACATCGAATGATATTATGCTGCAGTATTTTTGAGCTAAATACCTCTACTATGTCCACCATTAACATCGGTATCGCAATCAATGGTAAGTTAATGATATCAAATAAGGAAAGTCCTACAAAAATTTTGGTGGCCGTTAAATGATTCTCATCGCTCACCAATACATAGGTGGTAAATGTGGCCAAGGATACCTTTGATTTTTTAAAAAGGAAAACAGTAAAATGTGATCATTAACAGTAACATTACGCTCCATTCCTTATACAAAAATATTTAATAGTGTATAAGCATTTATGCTGCCAAAAGAAGATATGTTCTTGCTAGCAAGAAGTCCTTCAACGATTAAAATGTCTAGTAGGAAAACGTTCGTTTTCAATAAAAACCCATTTTAATTTTAAATAAAAACTTCCTTCTGCAAATACTTTGAAATAACTGCAATCATTTACAACTCAAATTCATCGCAGATAACGCATGCGGCGTAGAAAAGAATTCAATCAAAAAGAAAAGATTAATAAAGGAAAACAAACAAAAACACTATAGTTGGTCATGGCCCACCGTTAAACACCCTACACCATCCTTTAGGCACTTATATAACGACTTTTCAAAATACCGTTAGTCCTTGGACCCAAATATATCAAAAATTGCGACCTGTAGGTTGAACGGAAACATACATGTACAGAAATTATACGGACAGACAAGCTTAGAATCATTTTCTGAATCAAGCGGCTTAGCAAAGGATGAGTCTAACTTAAGTCCTTCTGGGTTTTATATATGTTCGCACAAAATGAACCTCCTTGTATCACAAGTGGTGTAGGGTATAATTATCCATTACCTAGTATTCAAAAGTAAAGAATATAGTTAAGTTTTTGTAATTGAAAACTTGTATTAAGTTTCAAAACTGTGAGCTTACCAAAAATGGAGCGCACGACCATAAAAAAGATGTACTGGCATTTAAATAGGCTGTAGATTTTAAAGTAGCGATTTCCTTATCACGTATTTCCAACACTTTTTTTTCAAAACTAGGTTCCCAAGCGTATAATTTTAAAACCTTAAATTTAAAAAGATTCAATAAAAATTTTGTTTTATTTAATCACCCAAGTACCTTAATGCCGCTCAAAACTTCGTTCATTAATTTAACACGATCATCTTTATATTTCATTTGGCGAATTTGATAAGTTTTGATACGATTAGCAATAACTCCATTGAGAGGTATTAATATAATCATAACGGCCAAGCCAGCCAATACTGAAGGACCCAGTAGTTCCCAAAGAAAATATAAAGCCAAAGCAATCTGTAACGGAGCTGACCATAGCATATTTAAATAAGTAGTTAAATCCATGAAACGTTGCGCATCAACTGCCATTAAATTAACAATTTCTCCAACAGTAGACTCTTTACGTGCTGTATTTGATATAACCAACGCTTTACGATAAATGGCGTTAATTAAAGCCGTTCGTATTCGTAGGCCCACAATAAACATGCGTTGAAAATATTGTCCCAAAATGAAGGTTTGAGCAGCTGCTACCAAAAAAAGCAGTGCAGAATATAAAATGCCCTTCCACTCAGGCTGACTTTCAGTTTCTCCATTTGCATTATCTTCTACGAAAGCGATAATCAAACGCAAAATTTGTGGTTGTACAAAAGTCAAAATATCGCAAAATAATTTCATCATTGAACCAAATAAAAAGACACCGCCAAACGAACGAATTATGGGCGGCATAATAGAAGCCATGCCCTTTTTATTGCCCATCTTAACGTGAGGATTATCAAAAATTACGGTACCATCTTTGTATTGGGCCTTAGGTTGGACAGCACCTAGCTTATAGTATTTTCGTACATTCTTATTCCAGTAATAGGCAAAAATTGGCATTATTTCCTTGCAGCTGTCTTGAGCACGTAAATCCCAAAGATCCTTTTCTTCGAGAGGTTTACGATAACCCTTTAAAGCCATTCCATCAAACCATTGGTAGGTGACGCGGGACAAGAAACTGGCCGAGTTCTCGGGGATTTCATTTTCAGAGCGATCATATTTTGTATCGCGTGGCATAGCGTCGGCAAAACAATTAAGGAACAACATGGCACAAGAAAAAGCAAAATACACCATAAAGCTTATATATTTGTACTCATCCCAAGAATAATCTGGCTTATCGACTGTAACAGATTGCAATACGTTATCACGGTCTCGTTTAGCTCGCACCTCAGTACGACATCTTGGAATTGAAAAAATGACTAGAAGAAGCCAAAATAAAAATTGGCAACCAGATGTTTGTACACCATATTTGCGGTTCAACGGAATAAATATAAATATCAATAACTGCAATCAATATAGAAAACAATTGTTAAAACTTAAAACTTCGCTTAATTTCAGTACACTCACAAAGGTAGCGAACTTGACAACCGGTGTCCACACGTCAACCGGATAAATTAAATCTGCGGTCTCGTTATTTCCCTCCTTCACCAATGCAGAGAAAAAGTCAACTGCTGTTAGCAGCAAAAGACTCAAGGTCAGCAATAATTTACTGATATTTAATTTATTCCATGGTATATTTTTATCTAAACTGGCCTTCAGATAGTAGAAATCAAATATCGAAAAAAGCCACAGAAATGAACATGGTGCCCACACTAGGACTGTTTGTTCAAAGCAAGGCGTAAAGTCTGGATTATTTGTATACCACGTTTCGTTCGCATCCTAAAAATTTGTTTTTTTATGTATTAGAAGTTGAGTTGTTATAAAACCAAAATCAAAGGTTACCCAAAATGTTGAACCGCAAAATTCATCCATATGAGCTATCTCTTGTATTTGTCCTTCTCTTAACTAATTTTCTCGGTCGGTGTAATTGATCGGATTAATAACAGTTAATAAGTACTGTTATGATAATGTTTGTTTATTTAATACCGATAAGTGCACTTGGTTTTTTTCTTTTTTATAAACAGTAAAAAAAAGATTAGATTAAAGGTAAAAAGAAACAGCTGACGAATAGATTAGGACAGGGTGCTTCAAAAGGGAAGAATTTCTTTATTAACTTTTTTATTTTGATTTTTTCTTTTGGTTCGTGTTTTTTTGTTAATACTGGCAATAACGCTAGCTCAACGATATCTTTCAACGACATCTGTTTCTGTGTGTAATGTGTAGACATTTTTTCTTTGAAGAAATTTTGTTAATATTTCTTAGATTTTGCTAAATAAAAACTACATTTAATAATGAATTCGCGGAATAACTTTTTAGATGCGGATAATAGTTTAATAGAGAGAAGGTTGAGATTTGTGCAGGTAGCATTGCGGTATAAGTAATAACAAATATGGCGTATTATAACAAGTTTCTTGCAGAATGATTTTGAAGACAGTTTGAATCAATACTTTAGGGGATCTAGATGTGACGATTCCACTACTTCTCCACCTCCACGCGACTACAAAATTGTTCAACCTAAACCTGGTAAGTACAGGCTATTATTTTTTAAGAGGCGCCTTTCGAATTTGATGTTATGCAAATTTAAATACGCTGCTGGGAATAGCGGAAGCCGTGTTTTGGATAGTGCGAAGAAGTAACACTCAGGTCAGATTAACAAATTCCATTCATTGAGGAAATTTTGAGTGATTTTAGAGAAGATGATGAGTAATCATTAAAGAAAATGTGACGAAATAAAGGCGGGAATAACAACGGTACTTTAACAACGGTTATTTGTCTTATATGTTCAAATAGGTATTCTCGATGCACAAAAATAGCGGAATCATTTGCCAAATTCTATCCTTATTCCGATCGTAATAGCTTGTCTGAGGTAATAGGCTTGACTTTGCAGCTTCCGTTCATGTTGCGTCTAGTTCCCGTACCCCCCAAGCTTAAATTTTCTTATCAGAAAATGTCAAATAACGCCGTTTATATCATATTGTTCAATGCTTTATTTAATTGTTTCGGAAAGAAAGAATTTAACGGTTACCTGTTGCACGCTTATATACAAATGATGCATTGTACAGAAAACTTAATTTCTATGGTCAGCAAGAATATTTTTGTTGTTTAATTGTGAACAAGTCTTCAAGACAAGTTATCATCTTCTTCATTTGATTAGTTAACTAACAGTGGGTTCTCTCTGCCTGAGAAAAAATTATAAGTTGAATTTTAATATCAAATATATTTATTAGTAAATCGTGATTAAGTAATTTAAAGGATTTCCAGTACCGGTTAAGAAACAAGATTTTTTTAATTGTTAATAAAAAAAAAAGTAGAATATACTTGAGTTACGAAACGAGTAATGTTCGATTTGGTCATAGTTCTGCGCAAAACTTATGAACATCTCAACATATCAACAGAGAGCGCGCGAACAAATTATTCCTATAAGTGGATTTTATAGATTTTGGAGGAATTCTAACAGACAATGATCGGGTTAATGTAATATGGCCATCATGTGATTTCGAATAAATACTTTCCTTTTTCTGCTTCATTGCATGACAAAACTCGTTGTATTTTTGACCGAGGTTGTCAAGTTTTTGAAAAGTTTGGGACAAAAATATCAGGCGGACTGACAGATAAATCTTTTCGTTATAATAGATTATCTCGGGTCCTTCCGGGTGTTGTATACAAACGTACAAAGTTAATGTGCTCTCCTTACCTTATAAGTTGCACAATGAAAACTTGGGAAGTTAGTTTCGAAAAATCTTCAAATTTTCCTAACAAAACAATCTCTTTTCTATAGTTAAAAATTAATTTAAACCGTTTGCTTTGAAAAAAACTCAAGTTTGATTTTCAAAAAACCAAAGCCAAGTAATTAATATGTACTTCCGAACTATCTTTTCAATAAATCGATTCTTCCGGACCGCCTGTCCTGAATTGTTGAAAAAGTGACGAAATATTTAATGGCTAATTTAAATAATCTACGGATATTGAAAGAGGTTTCTTCACTCCATGCCCATATTCCTTTCTGAACGGCGCCGTACACTATAGCGGACCGGAAAAAAAATCTTTTTAAAGAGTAAACGGAGAAATAAACAACAAAAACAGACTAAAACTATTTGCAGAGTCTACAATTGTTGAATCTTAAAATTGAGGCATAAATATTGTAAAATAACTTGTGTTAAAACTGATGTATCGTACAATTTAATAGAATTTTATACGAATATTTCTTTTTGCTTTGGAAAAAACAGAAACTCATTTGCTTGTTTAGATATACTACTACTGTGAATATATAGAAGAAAGCAAAGCTGCTTTTGTCGTCATAAATACTTCGTGCATCTAAGCATTTCAATATCAATAACAAATATATATTTTTCGCTCAAATAGGTCAATAATTAATTTTGAATGCATTTTTATTTCAAAGACGTGAATTAGACAGTTTAATAAAATCTTAATAGATAAGATTAAAAAACTTGTGTAATTCTCTTCTTGGGCTGCGTAATGATGAGCGTAAAATCAAAGAGAGAATCCAACAAGTTTCGATAACGTATATACTGCATTGGATGAATGTATCTATTAGAATTAAATTGATTGCTCAACAGACCATTAAACCAATTAAACAAATATTTATTAGTGCTATATATATATAAGCGTACGCCAATTTGTTAGACAACGTAAAGCGTTATAGTCATGCAAGTTTCGCAATTAATACCCTACACCACTTCCTGTACCTAATTTAATCTAAACTATAGAAATGAGAAAATAAATTAGGCACATTTAACCCAAATATATATGCTATGCTATACTTGGCAAATTTTCATCATTAAATAGTAAAAAGAAAATCTCGTTGCCATATCAAAAAATTTATAAATTTGATGGTGGGGAGGATGTTCAAAAAATGATCCCATTGATTGTGCGGAATCTATTTGTCATCGATCATTGACCGAGATGTGGCGTAATAAGAGCGATCGTATAAGCGATCCGGTCCAGTTCATTTTTAATAGGGCTTCTCGTTGGAGCAATATATGTAAATGTACCAAAATTTATCAAAATATCTTGGACACAATTTTGAATTGATTGATGAAATAAAAGATGGCTGCACACATCTGCACTGGTTTAACGTACTTTAACGTAAGGTATTAAAGTAAAGCATAAAAACTAATAATAATTGATGTCAACGCATATTATATTCAACGAAAAGTTTGTAGGAATTTCGTTTCCTTCCTCTCGTCATCACAATTGAAAAAAAAAAAAGTACGAAAATTTATTTCGGTCCGGACCGAATCTTTTACACCCATCATAATTCAGCCCAAAAAAAAAAAAACAAAAGAAGTAAGAGAACAAATTCCTCATGCTCTATAGTACGGAGTGGTTGCAGTTGATTCCTTCTGTTTTCAAAATAAAAGTGTTTGTCGTAGAGGCGTGTGGGCGTTGTAGGCATGCCCTTTGAAAAGTTTAGGTCAATTCCAATTTTTTTTGCAAATTTTTGGCGATATCTTCATTTTCGTTAACGGGAGCATGTTTCCCATAACTACTGCAAAGTTACGCAAACGAACAGATAGACAGATGAACAGGCGGATACGTTTAGGTGCATTCCAAATTTGAAACTGGCCGCGAACTTATATACTACATGCATACTTTACGGGATCTTTGAAGCTTGTTTCTGCACCTTATAAAGGTATTAAAAAAAAGAAGGAAATAAACTTTGGTACATTATAATGTTGGGTGGGCATAGTCAATTTTTTTTATTTGTATACAGGTGCTACAGCACCGCCGGCTAAAAAATGCGTTCAAATTTTTCTACATTTATCAGCTTTACATTATAAGTAACGAGCAAAAAACCAACCTTTTATTCCTTTTGAAGGACAGAGGCATGCTCAGTTTACGCTGTGCTGTGGGCGGGTCGTTCGACCAATTTGTTTCATTTTCAATATCAACTGTGTGTGCCAAGTTTGAAGTCGATAGCAGATGGACAGACGGACATGCTTAAATCGATTTAGAATCTGAGACTGATCAAGAATATATATAATCTGTGGGGCTCTTACTCTTCCTTCTGTGCGTTGCAAACATTTTGACCAAACGAACATACCCTCGGTGATGGGTATAAAAAGAAGCCGACATAAGTTGTCACGACATATTTTCGCTTAAACTAATATAAAAATATTTCATTTTGTATGCATAGAAATGACTGAATACATAGCCCCCAACAAGTTTCTCCACTTTGGAAAACTACATCTGATTTAACCTTAACTGAGGGATGATATACCGATATGAAAATCTTGTTTGGAAGAACGTATTTTTGTCTGGTTATGCTAACATATCGACATGTAATGCAACCGATCACAATTAGTAAAGATTTATTTAGACAGATTTTGGGGCGAAACTATTCCCCTTATAAGCATTTACTAGCAAATTACGCATTCGCTCACAATTTCCTGTAAAGCAATGGTTCCTCTTCTTTTCTCAAACTTTTGCTCATTATATCTCAAATTGATCACAATTTTTTACCTATAACGATCCTTAGTCAAATACGAAACTCCCTTGAATTACCCCACAAATCTATCTACATCTAATAATACTGTCAATCAATAATCCCGAATTAAAAATATATGAAAAATGCGGAAAATTGTCACGTCCATACTTGTCACGTTGAACAAGTTAAATAATTTGAATAACTGAACTATTCACTGATCGCGTAGAACATATAGTTGTCGGAAATTTTATACCGTCTGCTAAATGCCCGCAATTGGCAAATTGTTTGCAGTGATGCTCCATAAGGCGAATATGGATCTCTTCACTCATTAATTGTTCATTTGAATTCTAGGAATTGAGAAAAGTTATCGCTACAAAGTAATTTCATACCGTAAACAAATAAATGTTAAAAAAAATAAATAGAAGAACATTTACGCCAATGATTTTGTATCAAATCTCGTTTTTCAATTCCATCACATGTTTAAACGCACACATGTATACGCGAACATACCTCTCTCTGTTTATAATAAAGTTGTTATTTTTTAAATTTTTCAATGAAATCATTGCAACTGGCTTTCAGATAATTAAAGTGCATTCGTCTGCAATGACAATGATACCATAGCAATACGAAAAGTGAAATGAAAGATGTATGACAGTAATTAAAATTGCTTGCCTACGCTTAATATGAATTGAACAAAAGTTTTTGTGCTAATATCTATGTCGTATGTCATCTTGCACCACTTGCGTTATAAGGATATATTAACAAGGATGATTTGCAATAGATCCATCTTTTATTATACCGTTTCTTTAAGCTTCTCTGTCCGTCCCTTCCTATTTGCTGTCTTGTGTTCAAACTACAGATCGCAGTCTTTGAGATATTTCGCCGCCGTGCTTTGGTCTAAGAACGGGCACTATTTCTAATGATTCGGATAGAACCACTTCTTCGACCACTTCCCACATAACCCCTTCGTTTGAAAGGGCGTTATTTGAATAATTGCAGAGTGTTGCCCTAGCGAACCGTGTTCCCACTACATTGTTTTTGCACGTTCACACTCGTTTGTACAGATAGTGGGGAT